TAGCCAAGGAAGAAAGCTTTCTGAGACAAATGGTATATCGGGGTTATGATTTTCAGCATCTTATCACCTAAAAATGAAAGGATATGAAAACTCAGAATGAGTAACCTTTGACTTATGTGCACTCTGCTGGTTCTTTCATTTTTCTTTTGTTGCTTATAATGCTTTGTAAAATGTCTGTATTATTTAAAAAAAAAATCGTTTTAAAGAGCTTTTATTAAGATTTTGGTTTTATGTTTATTATATTTGTTTTAAATCACTAAATTAATATATTCATGCATGTCATCATTTCTGTTACTTTCTTGATTTCAGTATCTACTGAACTTTGTTCTGTGGAAAAATTTAAAGTTCTGTTTTTAGGAAGAAAACCAATTAAATAATAAAATGAACAATGTCAGAGTTGCTCTTCTTCTAGCTACACTAGACACAACTTTTCCCCCAAGACAGATTCCAATACTTATTTTTAGTCCCTAGATTTGGCATTACTGTATATCAAGGGAGTTACACTGCTGTACATTAAGGGAGTATTTCTCCTATTATTTGCTGGTTTGGTAGACCACAGTAATTAAATAAGAGCCCCTGTGGTCTCCTGGGGAGATAAGAATAAGATTTTTAAAAAGCTTTTGAATACAAGTGTATTTGATAATGTCCTGTATATAAATAATTTATGTACTCAGTTGAGTGCTTATGCTCTTTTGAGGAAATTTTGTCATCTTTTAATACTTCCTTATAGCCCGAAGGAGTGGGAGAGATGTAAGAGGAGATGAAAAAGGTGCATGAAAGAAATGTAAATTTATTCTTAGTTACACTAGTGACCAACAACCCCCCAAAACCCCATAATTTATACTTTTGAATTTTTTAAATTTATTTTTTACTTCTTTTTGTGTGCATGAGGAGCTTGTTAGGAAGGGGCATCTTTGGCCGATCTCTGTTCCAGTGCCAATGTTGTGCCTATTCTGTGTCACAAAAATTCTCATAGGAATCCTGGGAAAGAGCTTTTCATGCATCCACAGCTTATATTTATAGCTCTCATCAGAACACAAAGGTAACTGGCTGTACTGTTAAAAGCGAAGATACATTGGAAAACTGGTGTCAATATTAGGTCTTTCTTCTCTGATTGCTTTTAAATCCAGGATCATGCTTTGGACTATATTTTTGCTGACGGAATTCTTTGCAGTAGATGTAGCTTTAAAACTGTGCTCTTTCAGAAGTTTGGTACCTTTACATTTTTCTGTCTTTCAGTTTTCTCTTTGTCTGTAGTTAGATCTGAAAAAGCCGACTAACAAAAGCAAGATTTATCAAAATGACAAAGTGTATTTAAAATAAATGGTTTCTTCAAGACTATTACATCGTTATTTTTTGTTACTCACACTGGATCCTGCATTCTCATGTCTGGTGTTTTACAGAGGAGAGGAAAGTGGGACTTTCAGCTTTCTGAAAGAAGGCCTGTAGCTAATTACTTTGGTAATCAATTTTCCCCAGTTACCTGCATTTATATCTAGGTCTTAGTTTACCATTTTATCTAAAACATGCACTGCTGTAGGTGCAATTCCTTTTAAAAACTATTTTTCAAAGGCTCCATGACGTCATTTCAGCCCTTCACAGGTCACTTGAATCTTCTGGTTTGTCAGGTCTCTCACTAGAACTCCTTGAACAATTTTACTTCCAGTATAAGACAAGAATTACGAGTGTCTCTCCTGACTTTCTGACAAAACGGAGTAATATCCATCCTTGATTTTGGAATTTTCAGTGTAGCAGGTCCAGTAAACAGATCACAAGATGATCACCGTGTAGAACCTTTGTGCATCTTGTTACTGACCTCTACATGTCTAGCAGCGCCCTTGCAGTAAACTTAGCCAGTTGTGATAGTAAACGCTTACTCAAAGAGGCTGAAATGGTTTGTGTTAAATTTTATGCGTACTGGGACTCCACCCAGTTGTTCCTGATGTAGGCAGGCGGTTCCTGCAGTAGAGGCTGTAAAGACAGGTTTCTAGTGAAAGTGGTGGGTCACCCTTTTCTGTTTTATTATCTTTAAATATTACCAAAATACTCCATTAATTCCAGCTGTAAGTTTATTGTGTGGGAAGTGTAATTTTTTTTGTACGTAAAGTAACTGGGGAAGGGAAAGAGACTTTAATTTGTGATTAAAGAGACAACATAATTATATGCTTTATTATGATCAGTTTTTACAGAGAAATGTGAATGACTAGGGACCTCTACTGACTTGTAAACAAAATCATAGTGGTTGAGTATTTCACAGAATTTGTCAAAAGCTAATTTTATTTATTTATTTTTTTTTTTTAAGGAACTTCATGTTGGTGTTGTTTATGCCAGAACACAGTAAGCAAGGCAAATTAACTCCAGCCTCCTGTAAACTTTTAATTGGCCAACATGATGCAACTGAGTATGAATTCCAGGTGGCTTTGGAAATGAAGGAGAACTGATCTCTCTGGCTGGAAGCTGAACGTGATGACGGCCTGGTCTATGGTAGGGAAGCTGAAAATGGAGAAGAGGCACTCCAGAGAAGACAGAAATGTGGAACAAGATGCTGGGGAATGCAGTGCTGAATCTGAGGAATGGACGAGCTCAGAAAGTGAACCTGAGCAACCGTACTTCAGAAGCACCTGTAGCAATATTCAGTGGAGAGAAAAAGAGGTTCCCACTAAACCACATCGGCCACTCTGTCGTTCCCCTTGTTTGGATCGCCCAAGTTTTTCACAGAGCAGTATCACACAAGACTTGAAGCTAGACGAATGCAAAACAAATTTGGACAAGGAATACCAAGCTAAAATGGATTTTGCTTTAAAGCTTGGGTATGCAGGAGATCAGATCCAGGCTGTACTGAATAAATTGGGAGCAGATGCACTCATCAATGATGTTCTGGCAGAGCTTGTGAGACTTGGCAACAAAAGTGAATCAGAGGGACAAAGCAGTGCCAGCAGTACCGCTAGTACTCTGGTGCCAAGAGGCCCTTGCCCAAAGGAAATAGCAAGCCCTGAATTGTCACTTGAAGATGAAGTTGTGGATAACAGTGATAACTTGAGGCCAATTGTCATTGATGGAAGCAATGTGGCTATGAGGTGGGTCTGCCTGTCACAACATTTGGAAAGAATAAATCACTAAAATACTTATGAGAAAAATCAGTATTGATGACAAAGTAATTTTAAGTCATGTAGTATATTTACACTGGTAATACATCTTTTTTTTTATGGACTCTTTAGTCCAGGCTTTTAATTACACTGTTACTCCTTTATACGTAATCTGTATTCCAATTCCCCTCTGCCCCTTTTCAAACCAAATTCTCCCCTCAAATCTTTTGTTATAGCAATCTAACTGTAGTGTGCTTTTGTGTGGATGGGTTTAATTTTTTGAAGTCCTTTAACAATGTTGAAAATTATTTTTCTTCAATGTCCGGAGAAAACAAAGTAGGGGAGGAAAACTTGGTTCTTTCTAAAATGACACGCGGTGTGTGCTGATGACAGGCTGTGCACTTCAGGGTATTTGAGCTCCTGCTGATCAAGCCTGCTCAGAATTCAAAGCAATTTAGCTGTGTCAGTAGAGGGGTATGCATGAGCTAAACGTGCTGACTCACACAGCTGTGGTGCTTGTAATTTCAGACATGTGTGTACACACGTGCACTTGGCTGCCTGGGTCAACACTAACTCAAAAGATCTGTTTCATGCCACCTTCGAACATGCCTGTAGAGTACACAGTTCAGTTTGCCAATGATTTGTTTATCATTGAGAAAGTATGATTTTCTGTGAGAGAGTTCTTTAAACAGTCTGTTTAGTGATCAGTGAGATCAAGATTTCTTTGGGTAGTGTTTGTACAACAGATTTCCTTTAGTATCAGCTTTCTGCTCTAAAAGAATTTGTGATGTGAATTTTTTTTTTCAGTGTATTAAGAAAATTCAGATTTTTATAGGTTTATTGAGTATTCTGAGTTTTGAAATACATAACCCCCCCAAATCTTATAAGAATATTTTATATACAGCATTTTCCAGTGCTAAGTTGTGGTTACATCAATCCAAAAGATGTTTCTGTGAAGCAACATCACCAATATTGGATTTAACTTTTTTCTTTCCCTTTTTTCTGTGCCTGTTGAATTTGCAGTCTCTGTACTGCTCGTGTTACTCCTGAGCGTTATGTGGCAGCAACTGGAGAAAAGTGTGTGTGTACTATTGTGGAGCTTAAACTCATGCTCTATTTATAGAACTACATAAAGATAGAATATCTCAAGTTGGAAGGGACCCACAAGGATCATTGAGTCGAACTCATAACAAAATGCATATGCATCTGAAAAATTAAAAGGATATTAAATTCCATAAAATCTGAAAAGTACGAAAATCTGAACAAAAATGCTTTAGCAGCATTGCAGCTTCTGTATTCATTATTTAAATTGCAAGGATTTGGAGTACGCTGGTGATCCATAGGCCTTAGTTATACAGACGGTATTAGATCTGTTTGCCCGTGGTCTGTTTCAGTGTTGCTTTATGTAACAGTGGGAGCCCAGGAAGAGCATGTCTTGCCAGTGTTAGGTAATCTGTGATGTTCTATAATAATAACAACAACATTGAAGTAAAATTTTGAATGATAATCCATAGAATAATGCTTAAGGAACTTTAATAAGATGCAAATCTCTTAATTATGCAGTGTCTGCTCTACAGACTGAGAATATCTGAAAAGTGCAAGGGTTTTACACTTCTCGTGCTTAAAAATGCTGCAATTATTGAGGCTGCAGATGGAGGCCTTGCCTTTGTTGTAACCCAAAGGTGGCTGTATATGGAAAATTGAACCATTTCCATATTCGGTATTGAAATTTTCTTGAAGTAAACAGTTTTGGGCGATGCTACACAGAACTAACAGCTCGGAACAGGATGGCGCAGCAGCTGGATGCCACTTTGTGTACAGTTAAATGCCAGCTGCTTTAAGCACTGGGAGGAGTTCCTAGTGTGATATAGCGCCACAAAACCTCCTTAGTTACAGCCAACTGTGTGGACCGCCTGTGCACTTCAGGGCTGCGTAGCAGAGTCCTCTCCTGTGTCTTCTGCCCAGCACTGCTACCTAGGCCCTTTGTTGGGTTTTTTTTTTTTAATAGGGAGGGTCTTTGGTGCGCACAGCCTGCCCTGCCCTTACAGTGTTCTGTAGCCCTCCCTGACCTGCCCACTCCACCACTTTCTCGTGGTGAGGATCTCACTCCTCAAGATGGCATCACTGATATGATTGAGTTAGCACCTTTTGCAATGCATGGAGTGATTTGAAGAAATTAATTAATTTTCTTCACAAGTCAATACAGAAGTCTTCAGAAATAATGACGGGTGGGTGGCAAACGAACTGGGCAGCATCACTCCTATCACGAGTGATGAAAAATTGCAGCTGTGTTGAGAACGGGAGGAGGAAACTGAATTAATATATTTTGAAGAGTGTGCACCAAGGAGCGTAGTATTGGCTTAGTAGTCTACCCTTTTCAAATGCAATTGTGGAAGTAGTTCAGTTTGCTAGCCAAAATGAAGTGTAACAAAGAGGGTTGGTTTTATTTGGTGGTTGCTGTTTTTGTGTCTTTGGGTTTGTTTTTTTTTTTAGTAAAAAGGACAGACCAATTTTTTTTGTCTCAAGTAGTTACAGTATTAATTGAAAAGAACCAAAACCCTTAGTTTTTATTATTCAAATATATGGTGTAGCAGTAATATATGCACTCCTTTTTTCCGACAAAGAAAATGTTGGCTTGAATCCAAATACAAAATCCAGCCATAATGCAAAGATCTGTGTGTCTCTTACCTGTGTAGACTAACTACTAAGGATATTATAATTAAATGTTGTCGTCTTCTCTTATATATGTCCTTACTCAGGCATTCCCAAACTATTTCCTGAGAGGATTTAAAACCTGATTCTTTAGTTCACTCTATGTTTAGCAAATCAAGATAGATGCACCCATGAGGTAGAATGAATAAGATTCGTAATTATGATTTCCTTAGTTTCTATCAAACCTCTAAATAATTTCTTTGCAGAAACTTCTTAGGCCATTTTAAAAATTAAACCCCTTTATCTGAATTATGTGCTGTTTTAGAGATTCCTGTATGTTTCAGAAAACAACAAATTTTTGATGGAGGGCAGGGCGTAAACAACTTTGAGAGGGTTATTTCTTTCCCTTAAAGAAAAAGTCCTAGTTAAAGAATACAGAACATCCAGATTAAAGAAACACACTTTCTTAATCTACATGTTTAAAAGCACCTATCACCCAACAGCCAGCATTGTTAGTTCATTCCTTTTTTGTTATTAACTTTTTATGTTTTATATTTAAGGTAAGCTCAATTTGTTGGGGAAAGTGGTATTTTTCATTAGCTCAGCTAATAAAATGAAAAAGAAAAAAAAAAACCTTCATGTTTATTTGTTTTTGCTTTAGGGATAGTGAAAATTGACACCATTTCTGTAGAGTTTTAAGTAGCAATGTTGCTGTAATCTGATGGCTGAATAGCTCTGGACAATTGTCTTTTTCCAGTTATGTAGGATGGTCTAATAAATGTTTACCTATCTTTACAGACTTTGTTTCCCTTATAGCCTTAGACCATGGCAATTTTAGAAGAAAAAAAAACCCCACCCCACAAAAACCCCAAAACACCACAACAACAAAACCCAAAACCAAATGTAACTTTTGCCCTTGCTGTTTCTAAACCTTTTGCATGTTCTTCAGCCATGGGAATAAAGAAGGATTTTCCTGTCGGGGAATTCAACTAGCTGTTGATTGGTTTCTGGAAAAAGGACATAAAGATATCACTGTGTTTGTACCTGCATGGAGAAAAGAACAGTCTCGACCTGATGCACCGATTACAGGTAACAGATCAAGATTTTCTTTGACTCCTTGGTTAAAAAGAAAAAAGCAAAAAAAAGTATTGCATTAAGATACAACTATGTCATTATTTCTGATGGGTACTACATCCTGGGCTGTGGATGTGATGTTGCAGGATGAAGTTGCACTCAACTGTTTGAAAACACAAGTTTCACTGGTGAGGAAACACACATTTAAGTATCTGCACCTGTAAACAGTGTTGGTTTTTGTAACATTAGGGGACTGTTTCAACACTTTGGAGAAGTAGTAGTCATAATATTCCCATTAGCAAACATTGTTAAGCATACAGGAACTGATTCTTAGTTGCTGGGTGAATAAGTAGTATCAGGCCAGGCACTCATTCAGTAGGACTGTCTTGAACACTGAAGAGGCAGCATGGGTTTTGGCCCATAGAAGGGACTTACATTTCGCTCTAGGCTAACAAGAAGGGTATTGTAATACAGGAACAATTGTGTTCTTGATGTGTTCAGGAGGACTGAGTAAAGGTACATGATTGTTTACGGAGGAGTAGAGTGGTTATTGAATATTTACCCAGTGCTTTGAAACCTCAGGAATAAAATGGCACTCTGAATGAATCTAGGTATTTTTTAACAATAACGGGGACCATAAATGAACATAATTACAAAATACTTTGTCAGAAAAGAGGGCAGGAAGTTTCACATTTCAAAGGCTGCATTTCTTTCTTTTAAAAACTTTTTTAAAAGCTGCTCAAATAAAATTATTTTACAGATCAAGAAATCTTACGTAAATTGGAGAAAGAAAAAATTCTTGTTTTCACCCCATCTCGAAGAGTTCAGGGAAGAAGAGTAGTTTGCTATGATGATCGATTCATAGTAAAACTTGCTTTTGACTCAGATGGCATCATTGTATCAAATGACAACTATCGGGATCTTCAAAATGAAAAACCAGAATGGAAGAAGTTCATAGAGGAGCGGCTGCTAATGTATTCTTTTGTGAATGACAAGTATGCTTTTTTCTTCAAAAGTAAGGGAATTTGCTAATTCAAAATCCTCAGTAAAAACTGAAATTCACATTTCATTTCTTTCCCCTTAGATTTATGCCTCCTGATGATCCTTTAGGACGCCATGGTCCAAGCCTTGAAAATTTCTTAAGGAAAAGGCCGGTTATTCCTGAACATAAGAAACAACCGTGTCCTTATGGTAAGTGCCTAAGTCATATTGATTTATTGTATTCTAAGGTAGGTGAAGCAAACAATTAATTAACATCTTGTCATTACTGGGGGAAAATATGCCATTTTTCATGTTGCCATCCCAGCACTGTATCCATTTTTATACCCTTCATACACATATTAATAAATACAATGTAGCAGAAAATGAAGGATTACCAGACACACCTTGTGGATAACACAGCTTTTTGCTATTTTCTTCTGGTTTGTATTCAAGGAAGGAGATTCGTAACTATACAAACTGTGTTAGAGCTGTTTTGTTTTATGTAGGATTGAGTATGTTGTCAGTATTGAAGTCATGAGCCAGTAGGAAGAAAAGTGATGTGTCTTGCCCTTGATGCAGTGATATACGTGGATACAGGCAGCAGTCTGTGACTGTCTGTGTATACAATATAGATAATTATTCCTTAGGTGGTTAAGGTAGAAAAATTACTATTGAGAAGTGGTGAAAGATATAAAGAAAAAAGATAGCAACTGGTAGTATTGATTAGTTTTTGGTTTATTTAACATGAAAACACTTTTCTTCCAGGTAAAAAGTGCACCTATGGGCACAAATGTAAATATTACCACCCAGAACGGGCAAACCAGCCTCAAAGGTCAGTAGCGGATGAGCTTCGAATAAGTGCCAAATTATCTGCTGTGAAAACTATGAGTGAGGGAGCCTTGGCCAAATGTGGCACAGGGCCATCCAGCTCCAAAGGAGAGATCAGTTCTGAAGTGAAACGCATTGCCCCAAAACGTCAGTCAGATCCAAGCATTAGATCAGTAGCTGTGGAGCCTGAGGAAAAGTTATCAGTAGCCCGGAAGTCCGAGGCCAGCTCTGTCCCGTCTCTGGTTTCTGCATTAAGTGTACCAACGCTCCCTCCACCAAAAAGCCATGCAGCTGGTGCATTAAATACTCGTTCTGCAAGCAGTCCGGTGCCAGGTTCCTCACAGTTCATGCATCAGAAATCCTCACTGGAACATATGTCCAGTGTGCAATATCCTCCTATACTAGTCACCAATAGCCATGGCACCTCAGTTAGCTATACCGACCAGTATCCCAAATATGAATCGCTGGGGGACCATGGCTATTACTCCTTACTCAGTGATTTCTCCAACTTGAGCATAAGTAGTATCCGTAACACAGATTATTACGGGGCGGATATGGACCAGGGGATGTATTCTAGAAACTCAAGCCCCTGTCCTGACAATTGCTTAAGCCATACGAGTAATGATTCTTATTCCTCTTACAATGACTTGTATCTGGGTGTAGCAGATGCCAGTCCAGAAGACAATGTGAAGATCCACAGACTGCCATCGCAAAATCGTGTTCAGCCTTTTTCCCATGGTTACCATGAAGCCTTAAATAGAGTTCAGAGTTACGGAACTGAAGAGCCTAAGCAATCCCTTCGCAAACAGTCAGTTTCCCACTTAGGCCTACATGCCCAGCATCCAGTTGTTGGAGCACGGTCCAGTTGTCCAGGAGAATACCCTGTGCCTCAAAATGTTCATCCATCAACTGCACAACCAAGCCGTGCCTTGGTCATGACAAGAATGGACAGTATTTCTGACTCACGGCTTTATGAAAGTAACCCTACAAGGCAGAGAAGACCACCTCTTTGTCGCGAGCAGCATGCTAGCTGGGATCCGTTACCGTGTGCGTCAGACTCCTACACTTACCACTCGTATCCACTGAGTAACAACCTCATGCAGCCATGTTACGAACCGGTAATGGTAAGAAGCATGCCTGAGAAGATGGAGCAACTCTGGAGGAATCCCTGGATTGGGATATGTGGTGAGCCACGGGAACCACATATCATCCCAGAACATCAGTATCAAACATACAAGAACCTCTGCAATATTTTCCCTCCGAGCATTGTCCTTTCTGTGATGGAAAAGAATCCCCACATGACAGATGCACAACAGCTGGCAGCTATGATTGTTGCCAAATTAAGAACAGGGCGTTAAAGCACTACAGCCTCTTTTGGATAAATGAAACTACACGGCATAAAGAACCTGGAGGAAAACTTAGATGAAGAAGGAAGGGCCCAATCTATTGTAAATATTTTCTACTAAGATAGTATAAAATTCTGTACACAGTAGCAATCATATATATATGCTGAGGCACAATATAAGAGTTGATTGTATTGTAAATTTTAAGATTTTAAATATAGGGATTTTTAATAGTATTTTATAGGAAATGCATACCTTGCTGCATGGATAGCTCATTAAGAACTACAATGTCACGTTCAGTGTCTCAAAGCTGTTACTACAAAATTATTGTTAGCAATTATATTGCATGTATTAGTGTACACATTCAATTTGCTTATAAATACCTAATCGGCCTTTAAAAGTATGCTCTAGACACACCCAGATGACTCTTAGGGTTTCAGCTTTGTCATTTGACACTGCCTCCTGGCATATTAAATATTGAAGAAAAAGTAAACTTGACAAAAATTAAATACTCGATTTGTGAAAGGAAAAACTGATTTCAGCTTCTGAATGTCAATATTGTTGTCGGTACTTAAATTTCAAAACTGTTCCCCAAGAGATTGAATACCTATTACACTGTCCGCTATGTTGGCTCAATCCAACAGAAGACAAATTAGGACCAAAACATGAAGGAGCGTGAAGGCGTGAGCGCCAGTCAATAAACTAAAAGAAGTTTTAACTGTAGCTTCTCTCTTCAAATCGCCTCTCAACTGTGCAGTAAGCAGCTGCTGGCCCAGATGACGAGACAAGCTGAAAGTGTAAATTGTCAGTTTTATGTAAATTGCATTACTCAGCCTGGAGCAGGGGAAACTGGGCATTAACATGAAGTTCACCAGTAACTACAGCCCCTCCCCTGGGGGCAAGGATGGCATTTGAGCGAGCCTCACGCTCGGGATGGCCGTACAAGATCAGCTCGAGGGAAGGCTGCTGCTTGGAAAGAGAGGCTACAGTTTGGGTTTGTGGCAAAGCTGGCCCGGTGTTTGCTCTTCAGATCCACGCAAAGGTGTGCATTTGCCTCGTGAAGGCTTTTAGAGTTCCTGTTTCGGCAGGTGAGATAATTTTGTGTGGCATTGTTTGCGCAACTGGTATCTTGCTCAGGGTGGGAACCTTTGTAGCTAAATGTCTCCAAAAGAGGCGTTTATTGTTTTTTAAGCTGCACTGACCGGACGCCCTTTTTTGAATCCATTGTATATTTCAACATTTCGAACCATTACTAACTCGATACCTCTCGAGCTAGGACTTGTTGACTTCTACTGTAGTTTTTTTCATGAAAGTTGAGAAGGCCTGGTTTATGGCCTTTTGTTTCTTCATGAGAAGGTGTGACACTGCCTAAATGTTTCTTACTGTGAAACACACGGAACGTGAGGCTGCAGTCAGGGTTGTTTCTGGTGTTTTGATAATGGCTTGCATGCTGCTTTCCAGTTATCTGTTTGTCTAGGAACAAAGTTATATAATTTCTTCCACTTGTGTTACTGTAATGGTTGGTTTGATTCAAAATACCTTGTGGGCTCTTTATCATGTGCAAAATATGTCCCTGTCATATAAAAAACCCCAAACAAACCACAATTACAGGTGCAACTACAGTTGATTTACTCATATTTGATAACTGTATCATTTTGCACAGGATAAATCTTGTGTTGGTACAGGTACCATATATAATGACCATGTCATTATATATTTAAAATGAGTTAACTCAAAGGTGATGCTGTATTTACACTTGGTGTTTAAAAAAAGCTAAGTTTTAACTAGTTGGTTATCGTCTCTGTTAATGGGAAAAAATAAATCTTCAGACACTTATAGTAGTTGGGGAAAACAAATTTAGCTCTTGACCAGTTTTCAAAAACATTTCTTACTAACCAGCATTTTATATTTTTAATTTGCAATTAATTCTTATTCTCTTCTCTTGCATGGTATAAGCAGCTGAGAGCAATGCCTCAAATAACCAGAAATGACCTTTTGTTTGTTGATACAAATTGTATCTCTTTTTCTTGATTGTATAAAAACTGTGTATAAAAAAAAAAATAAATCTCTAGATTAACTTCAGTATTACATTTTCACCACAATGTTTGTGACACCATGTGTCACAGGGAAGTAGCCCATGAGTAATTATGGATCTTTTTTATTTAAAATGGGCACTTGTAGTTTATAGACAAACAAGGACAACTTTTCAGAACCAGTTTATTATGTGCACAGGTACTGTGTGTACACCTCGAAGCATTACATAGTTCTCTTTAGTCTATTTATTAAGCAGATACATTCTTGCACTAAATTTTATGTAAAAAAGTTGCTGTTGACTCATCTGCATGTGTTTAAAATGTAACAATATAATTGCTATAGACCCTGCTTTATTCTTAACGGATTAATTTATAAATTATTTAGGTATCAAATGAAGTTTATTGTGCACTCACATTTTCCATCTTGCATGGAATTAAATATTTGTATGTAGAAAAATGTTTGTTCCCCTTTTCTCCAATTATAAAGATAAGCTATTTTAAGAGAGGTTCAGTAGGTGTTTTTGATGTTTTCTAATGTGGAAAACTGAGCGGCCATTTCTGTCTGAAGTGTTGGGTGGTTTATGGAGATACTCATTTTTGTAGGATGTGTCCAGTCATTTTAATTTTCACTAACGTTTGTCTTACTGATAGAACAATTCCTTTTTAAACAATGGGAATGCTGTGCCAATACAAACCCAGCATACTATTTCCCTAAGGCACTTTGAAGGCAAACTGTCTTTTTCTAGGAAGGTATCGGCGTCTGTCATGCACAGAGTTACAGACTGGGCAGTGGAGCCTTCGGGAAATAATTTGCAAATGTTGTGCTTGTTTAGTCCTCCTTAGAGGTAACGAAACTTTTGTATCTGATGTAGTCTTTCCTAATCAACTACTTTAAGTAATAATTCAGTCGTCCACATCTGTTTTCAGATATGTTTACAAGCCAACGCAAAACACTGACACATTCATTAATCTTCAGCGCATAAGCTTAGATTTCTTCTTACATGGAAGAGTTGATCTTATTAACACCTGATCATAACTGTCTATATTGTAAATATAAGACTTTGTATAAATGCTCTTTTTGAGAGCATGGTATTTAAATGTTTTTAAAACTGTAAAAGAACAGTTCTAGAAACTATATTTTAATAAAATCCATGAAATTACAATTCTAGATGAGAAAAAAAAAGTGGGAAGGTAAAATGCTGACCTCCTGCAATCAGCAGGAGTTAAGCAGTAACTTCAGTGCTTTACTGGGGCCAGAGCGTTCTCTGGGAGTTCCGATTTACTGATCTTTCATCTTGAGCTATATTACTTTCACATAATTTGTCACTTAAAAGTGTATAACCTTAAATTCATGAATCAAAAATTAAACGCTTTATGAGATGTTTAAGTTATTTAATGTGGGGTTTTTTTAAGAATTATATGTCAGTAATATATTAAATTGTACATATAGATGATTTCACTACTGTTAGTCCTGTTGTTGTCGTATTGAGCTGCAGTAGTTGGCTTTATTCATTTGTAGAATTAAACATTACTGTTTAATTGTTGTAAAATTTTATAAATCTCTTTGGGTTTTTTTGGTTGACCCAAATATAATGTAAGTCTTAATGACAAAATGAGTGAAAATGGATGTTAAACCAGTATGTGGTATTCGTAAATCTCTGTAGTAATAAGCGTGCACTGCTCTAGTTGCTGCTGCATGTAATTCATTCACTAGCATGAGTCTGTTCAGCTTTTGTAAAAATGCTTTAACTGTAAAATTAAAAATAGAAGGTGTGGATATGGTTGCTGAGAACCAGCCGAAAGATCCTCATTAAAAAAACAACCAGAACCAAACCATCTATCTAGGTGAGTTCCCCCCTACATCCTTTTAATGCCAGTTTACCTCAAATCATGAATTTTGGCATTTTGAAATTCTTAATGATAAAGCCAGAACACACAAAGAATCTGTCCAAATAGTTCCGTTAAAAAATACCTGGTGACATGCGTGTATACCCGTGATGTACACCAAACCACAAACAGGAACATTTCAAGGGACGTATTTTGGCTATAGTAATTTCTAAAACTCCATGCTAGAGGGCCAGAGCACGCGTCACAGCTGTGAGACTTTGCTCCACAGAGCTGAAATATGACTTTAGCTTGACTTACCAAAAGTTTACCTGAAGCATTGCTACTACAGGACTCATAGTAGTCAGATCATTAGATCTGTCGCTATTATTTCTATGGTCAGTGTTCAGGTTTAATACACCTCTTATTAACCCTATTTCTTGCAATATTTCAACTGGAAGAATCACTTAAATTATTCTCATGCTAGTGTTTGGTTAGCCTTCGAAGAGCCATTATACAATATCTATGATTTTGGTCTGTGGTATTTAAAGTTTGTAAATGTATTAATTGTTGAGAGAAGAATCTAAAAGAAATATAGGCTATTACCTGTTCCCCCCCCCACCTGCTCTGTGTAAAAGGTTTGCACAATTATTTAATAATATGAAACATGTTATACTTTATATAGATAAAAAATTTGCTTATTTAATAAAACTGAGAGCCATTGGATTGTTTCTAGCTTTTGATTTTGTAACCCTCTTTAGGTGAGAGTCCCAAACAACTGTTGTAGTTTGACCAAATTATTTCTCAATATTTTTAGCTGATTTACTGAAAAATACCCAGATTCTGAAATCATACATAATGCTCAGATTTTCCATCTGTACTTAAATCTGTGAAGAAGAGGACAAGAGTTTTACTTTTCTTTAAAAAGCAGAAGAAAAAGTACTATTTAGGTCCTGCTGTCTTGCCAGAGTAACATCCTTTGTCAGTCTCTGTTATTACACAAGTTTTCTTTTGCTTTTTAAACACTTCATCATTTCCCATATTAGGGGGGAGGCAATAACAATGTAATTTTTTTCCATTGCTTTGACTTGAATTGCTTTACCTTGGGGATAGGGGTGGCGGAGTAAAGCAAACGAAAGGACAGTGATACACAAAGATCATTCCTTCTGCATTTGGCTGAACTCACCATTACCACGTCTGCTCTCACAAGGGCCAGGAACAGCACAAAACCAGTGAGATCCACTACACTACCTGTAGGACAAAGCTGCCTTTTTCCTAATCCCAAGCTGTTTATGCTTAATTTACACCCTCAAGTAAGCCACTCCTGGAAACAAGTACTAATTAGATTCCACAGTTCCAGTTTTCTCCCTAAAACTGTAACCCCAGGGTAGAGCTGAAGTCCTTTGCAGAATAGCTGCCTTTGGGAATGAGAAAATAGAATATTAAAGACTTGAGTAACCAGGAAGAAATTATCCTACTAAGGTTCCACTACTCTGGCCAATTAATTACACCAAAAAGAAATTCAGATAGTGGCAAAAGCCAAAAGGGGTTACAGGCCACAAAAGCAGTGGCTCCAGGCCTTAACATCCTCACCAACTCCCGCTTGCAGGATTTATCCCATATAGTTCCAGCTTCTGTCTCCAACCCTGTCTGTAGTGTCCCTTTGGAGATGTTTTTTCAGACAGTAACGATCTGTCTAGAGAGATTAATTTACAGGGAGAAAGCAGTCTCGAGCAGTCCTGCCCAATGCAAAGGAAAAATGAAGTAATTTAGGAATACATCAACATTGCCATTCCCATCCCCACTCAGAATATGCTTCTAGCAAAGAAAGTAATCAGCATGTTGAAAACAAATTTTACCAAGTAAGCTTTTACTAAAGGGGAAAAAATTGTATGTAGCACAGTATTTTGTTTCCTGTGGTGTGGCCCACCCCCCCCCCCCCCCCCCCCAGTAACATGTTGTTTAAAATTCATGCCGTTACTTTGGCTCCTCCTCAAGTCTTGGTATTCTGTTTTTAAGCATCTGGCAGTTTTGTGCTTTTCCACAAGTCACCACAGCACTGGATTTAACTATTTTATTTGACTCTGCAATTAGATCAAAGACCAGAATGTTTATTCTGTAATTCATTCGCTGGGGTAATGGCAGATCCACAGGGCATAACTACAGCTGATGAAGAAATTATAGTAGCACATGATTTTAGCAAGTAAAGGTTTACCAAAGGGGAAAAAGGTTACACGTAGCACAGCATTTGCCAGCATCACACTTTCCTTTTTGAGCTGTTATGCTTGTTTGCATTGACAGACCTCAAAAGTACCAACTACAATAATTTCAGTAATTTCATACCCCAGCAAATACAGTAATAAAAGAAAAAATCCTCTTCACTCAAAATTTCCTAAATAAGCTTGAGGAACTGCTGGGTAAAAGGAGACATTTCTACAAATACTAAAAAAGGAGAAGGGCTTATGTGAAAAATCCCTCCTAACAGAAAGAGAAGTTTGTTGTCTTTTGCATTAGCACTGCTTGTTTTTGAACAAGGAAATGTACGACCTATCTTCCATTTTAAACAACTTTTGGCTGTCTGGTAAAGACATCCTGCAGTAGAACAGGATGACAAAAGTCAGAACAAAGAAATAATACTTACGTTATAGACATTTAGCTAAGCCGTTACCTGAGAGCCAGCCCAAATCATCCACAAAGCTGCTGTTCTAAGCTCTCAATTCAATCCCATCCAATGTACTGCTAAAGCTCTGTGTCCCTTTCTGTATCTCTTTCTACAGAACATTAGCACACAATGCCAGCAGTAGCTCTAAAGAACTAAAAAGATTCCATTTCACAGTGCTGCACTGACACATTCCTGTTTCTGTTTAGTTTGTAAATACTGCAAATTATTAGACTGCCTCAGAGAAAGGCTCTGTCTTACCCTCTAGCAGATACACTCCCAACAAATTCTTACTGAGGAGTCCTGCAATAAATATATGCGTAAACTCCTATTTTTTGACAGGTAATTGCAGAAGCCTCCAAGTACCTTAATACAGGTAAAGAAACCTGAATTTAGGAAAAACAAGCTGGAAGTCCTTTCTCTCAACAACTTTCCAACAAGGTACTCACTCAGGTCCATCTCTGCAGTAATCACACCAGCTCTCAGCAAAGACCACAGTATTAGTTATCAACCTCAGCAAAATCATGAATAGAAATACCATCAAGCAGAAAACTTTAAAGAGAGACAGTAGTGGCCTCAAGCCATTACTTGGAAAAAAAGCCAAGAAATGTTTTTTTTTTTTTTCCCAAGATATTTATGCACCTCAGTGCATTCAGCCATGCTATAACTAGGCTTGATCCCCAAAGCTTCATGTGAAATCCCAGTTAGATGAAAAAGGTAGCACCACATTATCCTTGCAAAATCACGCAAACTCACACAAGACGATGTTAGTGTCACTGACGTAGGAAGGGCTCAATAGTGTGGCAAATGAGGACCAGGGGACACTTTCCAGAATATCTGAGTGAAAAAGGAAAAACAGGATGCAGAAAGAAGGTTTGCCTTCAGTCCGTTGTATTTATTAACCGTGGAAAAAAAATAAAGGAACACTGAAGGATTCCATAGTACTCTAACTGTACCTGGCAAACATCAACTACAGCGAAAAGTTCATGATAGTAGTTAAGCAAGACAATGGTTACTACACATGGAACTTAAAACACACCAGGTTTATAAAATATTGATTTTACATGGCAAAAAACCAGTAAATCTTCAAGAAGAAAAAAATGTCCCAGAGTGGCTATTTCCCCATCACCATTACTTCTTCTTCCATGCCACTTATCTTGTGCAATACTGAAAGCTGCAGAACACTCTGCTGTCTCAGAAAAGTTGAAGACCACTTTTTATTTTATGGAAGTCATTCTGGGTCCATAACAATCCTCCTGTCCCAGGAATATTCAATTCTGCAGAGCTGTGAGAGGAAGAGAAATAAAGCACATACATAAGCACCGAGCTGATTTAGAAACTCACATCACCAAAGTCATTTTGATCGCACTTTAAACTCGTTAAGTTTTATTTCCAAAACAAAATGTCGTTTCTCATTTTTAGCTCTGAATATTTAGCCTCTGGAATGTGCTTAGTTTTTCATCAGTTTGTTAAAGAGAGGCGACAGTCCTGAGGTGCCCAAGGTACCAAAGCACAAACCAAAGGAAAGGTCACCAGTTACTAACAATTGGGAGGGAGACATGACTGCAGAAATAACCACATGACAACTTTCATCTGACCCTTCATCTGTCCCTTGCAGGAGGCAATACGGGCTGATGGGGTGAAGCGCTAACACAGCAAGCAGTCCACGTGAAAACAGTCTGGCACTAGTTACAAATGGTTCAATGCCTATAGATTCTGCCCATGGGAACTAACCATTCCTACGGCTTTACACAGAAGTCACAGAAACTGGTGCATTTACAGAGACTTTAAAGGAAGTTGTTGGTGGTGACACCCACAGCATGTGAAGTAATTTCTAATTTTAGAAGGTGTCTCACTCAAACAGGCGTAAAATCCCTTTTCACTGCGGAAGTTACCCGGTGAGGGCTGAGGCACAGGAGTTCCCCCAAACAACGACCCGTTTACATGACTCGCTAACTAACACAGCATACAAAGGAACAAGTAAGATTTTATACAGTGTTCCCAGACATAAGGCACTGTCAAACACAT